TTGGGAGCAGGGAGCGAAGCGAACAAGCCCCCTAAAGTGGGCCCAGACGCAGGAGCCGCCGCCTCCTCTTCCTCCGGCTCGGGCTCAGCCTCGTCTGGCTCACTCTCATCGCTGCTGGCGTAAGCAACCAGCGACATGGCGCCTCCCGCCTTTGGAGCGCCCTTGCCGGCAGACTAGGCCTACGTGAGACCGGGGATGCCCGGAGGCCTAGTAGGCCCCGCCACGGGGCGGGGCGGAGAACCGAAAAGCCCGCCTGCTCCGTATTCTAGGACTAGCCCCGGCAGGAGCCCATGGCCACAGTTGATTTCCACCGAATAAGGCTTCCCTCTTCACTTATGCTCCCAGTCCCAGGCAACTACACACAGCTAATGGCCGCCGAGTCACTCCGCCTCCTCCTCGCCTCACCAACATAGGAACTACAACTCCCAGGGAACACTTTGGATACAGCCCCATTCTTTCCCCGCAGGGATCTCGGCGCAAGGCACGGCGGGAGTTGAAGTCCGAGGGCGGATTAAGGGGTGCGCATGAAGACAGGAGGGGAAACCCGCCTCTGTCGCAGGGACCCCTGGGATGAGTAGTTTCTTTTGGTAGGCTGACAATTCCTATGTGACTACAAACCCCATCGGTCACCGCGGTAGTCAAGGCGACAGAAGGAGAGCATTTCGGTACTTGAAGTTCCCTAAGATTGCCCCTTGGGCGCTAAGATTTATGGGAGTTGTGGTGCGCTTAGAAGCTGCAAGCCATGTCGGGTAAGAGAGGGAGTCTGGGAAGGTGGTGGAGTGAGAAAGTACTTTAAAGGGAAAGTGACCTGGGGCTCCGGAGTCAACTGGGCCTGGAAGTTAGAACGAAACGCCCCAAGAAGAGCCAGGATCCAAGGGACCTGTAGGACGCTGGGCTGCAAGCCAGAAGGAAGAGAGACTGAAGCCCTGATACTAAACATCTGAGAGCTGAAATAAACACGGCATAGGGGGAAGCCATCGCCCTCTGTCACCAGAGTGCTCGTCCAGGGCACGTTACCCCGGGGCCTGGGGCCTGGATCCCAGGGCAGCAGCCAGGGAGACGGAGAATGGACAGGGAGCTGGAAGCCAGGGTCGGGCACTTGTGGTCAATCCCCTCTCGGTTAAGTAGGGCAAAGACGCCGGCTTGTGGCTCAGGCCTCTTCACAGTTGTGAGAAATCACCTGAGACCATCCCTGGCCGCTTGTGCCCCTCACCTGTCCCCTGCGGGTGTCCTTCGCATCCTTTTATGTCCCTGCATGGAGTCTGTTCCGTCTTCGTGTGGGAACTTCTTACATCCGTCTCTTCCAGTGACCTTCACATTCACCCAAGTTTGTGGGTGGCCTTTTCCGGGCTCACTTATGTCTGCCCATAATGATGGGCCCTGCACCTGGCCTTCCCGGGTCACCTGTCACTTCGTGTCCTTTTCTTGTTTATCCCATCTTTGCTTCTCGGCCCTGAGCATGTGCTTTACATGCTGCAACACCTGAACCTTCTCTTGTGCTCAGCCCATGAAGAGGCTGTTGAGCTTTGGGGAGGAGGCTGAAGCGGAAGAGGGGAAGGGTGATGAGGGGGAACAATGATGGGGACAGTAATTAAGAGGGACGGTGAAAGGCCTGGGCTTGAATTCTCCATCTGACAAACCTGATATGGCTCTCCTCCCCACCCCCTGCATGTGCCCAAATTCAACTCAGCTTCATAAATAAATTTAGGGGCCACCCTCTCGGTAAAGCCCACTTGTCTGGATTGCCCAGAACATCTACTTGTGCAGCTGTGTGAAGAGGTGCTGTGGGGCACTTCCTGGCATGGTGAAGCTGTAGGTCAGATCCCCAGCCCTAAAAATGAAAAAAGCCAGCTGTGGAAGCACAGGCCTGTAATGTCAGCATTTCAAGAGGCTGAGCCAGGAGGATTACAAATTCAAGGACAGCCTGGACAATTTAGCAAGACCTTGTCTCAAAAATAAAAGTTGGGGACAGGACTGGGGATATAGCTCAGTTGGTAGAGTACTTGCCTCCCATGCACAAGGTCCTGGCTTCAATCCTCAGCTCCACACACACACACTAAAAAAGGTTGGGATCTAACCCAGTAATAGAATGCTCCTGAATTCAATCCCCAGTGCCCCCCCTCAAAAGAAAAAGGAAAAAGAATATATAATAAGTGGAGCTGTATAGCTCAGTTATTCAGTTATTAGCTAGCATGCCCAAAGTCTTAAATATGATTCCCCATACATCCATAAAATGTACACTAGAAAAGCTTCCAAAAACTACAAATGTCTGAATCCAGCTGAAGAGTCCCCTATTCTGTAAGAGTGGGGTGGGGCCCAGAAGTCTGGATCTTTAAGAAACGCCTCTGTCAATTGCAAAGCAGGTATAGCGAGGACCACATGAGAAACTAGACCATCAAGTCCTATCTAGCAGCTGACGTGCCTTGCACAATACTGACTTCTAAAACCTGCTTTGGAATCTAGGTTCCCCAACCTACTCCCTGGTGACTGTGGGCAGTCACTTCTGAGTCTCACTTTCCTCCTTTGAAAAATGGATGGAGGGCTGAGGCTCAGTGGCAGAGCACTTGCCTAGCATGAGTGAGGGACTGAGTTCAATCTTCAGCACCACATAAAAATAAACAAATAAAAAGGACATGCTGTCCATCTACAACTACAAAAATTTAAAAAAGAAAGAAAGAAAGATGGGTGGAGGACAAGGAGCCCTCTCCTACTTCTGGGGGAAACACCTGATATTAACACACGATAAAAGAGTAAAAAACTGCTCAGGAAACTGAGGCAGGAGGATTGTTGACTTTAAAACCAGCCTCCGTGGGCTGGGGTTGTGGCTCAGTGGTAGAGTGTTCACCTAGCAAGCGCAAGGCCCTGAGTTCCATCCTCAGCACCACATAAAAATAAATAAAATATATTGTGTCCACCTACAACTAAAAAATAAATATTAAAAAAATCCTCAGCTAAAGCCTAGCCCTAATCAACTCAGTGAGACTCTGTCCCTAAATAAAATACAAAATAGGGCTAGTGATGTGGCTCAGTGGTCAAGTGCCCCTGAGTTCAATCTCTGGTACCCACTTCCCCCCCAAAAATAGTATAAAACTAAAAAAGTGATTGTCCTTGCTATTTGTCAACATACCTGCAGACAAGAAGCCCCACAGAGCAGGGACCTGTCTTTGTTTAAGAAATATTTTCTAGGGCTGGGGATGTGGCTCAAGCGGTAGCGCGCTCGCCTGGCATGTGTGTGTGGCCCAGGTTCGATTCTCAGCACCACATACAAACAAAGATGTTGTGTCCGCCGAGAAATAAGAAATAAATATTAAAAATTCTCTCTCCCTCTCTCACTCTCTTTAAAAAAAAAAAAAAAAGAAAAGAAATATTTTCTAGGGGCTGGGGTTGTGGCTCAGTGGTAAAGCACTTGCCTTGCATGTGTGAGGCCCTTGGTTCGATCCTCAGTACCACATAAAAATAAATAAATAAAACAAAGGTATTGTGTCCACTAAAACTAAGAAAAATAAATAAATATTAAAAAAAAAAAAAGAAATATTTTCTAACCAGGCACCTCTATTCCCAGCGACTTGGGAGGCTGAGACAGGAGGATCACAAGTTCAAGGCCAGCCTCAGCAACTTAGCAAGACCCTGAATCAAAAAAAAAAAAAGGCTGGGGATGTGGCTCAGTGGTGGAGCACTTGTCTAGCATGCGGGAGCCCCTGGATTCCCAGTATTGTAATAAAAGCAAGAAAAAGAGAAATCTGTAACATTACTTAAAATAACAACAATAACAAAGTCTTCCAGTAAAGGAGTAAAATGAATAGACGTATCTACTAAAGTTTTCTCTACTAAAACTTCAATAAAGGGATTTTTTTTTGTTTAAGATATTGCCCAGGGGCTGGGGTTGCGGCTCAGTGGTAGAGCACTCACCTAGCATGCGTGAGGCACTGGGTTCGATTCTCAGCACCACATAAAATTGAAATAAAGATATCATGTCCACCTAAAAAAACTAAAAATAAAAAAAAATAAATGTTGCCCAGGCTGGTCTAGAACTCTGAGCTCATGTGACCTGGGCCTCCTTAGCCTCTGGAATCACTGGGACAACATTTGTGTCCCACCGTGTCCAGCTTAAAAGATTTGGGGGGTTTTTGTTTGTTTTGGTGGTGGTGGTGGTTTTTGTTGTTGTTGTTGTTGTTTGTTTGTTTGTTTGCACAGTTCTGGGGATTGCACTCAGGGCCTTACTCAGGCTAGGCAAGCACTCTACTACTAAGCTACACCTCCAGCTGTTTTGATTTTTTTTTCTTTCTTTTCTTTCTTTCTTTTTTTTTTTTTTTTTTTG